AGAATATGTTAACCTTTTGAATAATTATTCAAAATCACAATCCTTTCCTGACCGAAGGGATTTCTTCCCTGATCCTAACCACAGATAGGACTCAGGATGCAAACTCCAGCCTCTGGTGACCAACTCCTCACTCTTTGTTTATCAAAAACTTTGCCAATGTATGTAATCCAGGCAGCAATTAGGTTTTCTTCAAAACAAATTAGTTCTATGAAAAACACAATTTCTAAGCAACAAGGGCGCAAATACAAGTGTGGCGGGTTCAAGCTGCCAGATAAAGTGGCTGCAGTGTTCAGTACAGTCGACGATACTAAGGTGTTGAAATCAGCAACAAATTGACAGACAGTTCCTCCACTGACAGAGCGTTACCAGTGCTGGAATAGAGTCATTGAGTCAATAAAATCAAAAGGGCTCATCCTCAGGGGAGCTTGAAGGTGCTCAATAAATTGATAGCAAGATAGACCTGGATATTTCCTGTATACAGGTGGAGGTTCTGCCCTCGTGGAGGCCCTAGAGTAAAAGGCAGAGGGTCACCAAATTATTAAGATTCCTTCTCAGGGGATTATGAATATCCACAGTATTTTTTCTTAAATCCGGCCACTAGTTCTCTGGACAAAGTGAAGGATGAAATAATGTCATCGTCAAGACCTGCCACTTGTGTGGCAAAAATATGAACAAAGTGGAATTCAGTTATAGGATATGAGGTCTAAGTGCTAAAGGCTGACACACATTGTTTACAGTTGCAGATGATCTTGCCTCACCTGCCTGGACCTAAGGACTTTTTACTTTAAAGGGCAGTTGTGCTGTGATGAGGGACCGTGGCTGGTTGTTGTGTTGGTGGCACTGGTTTGATGTGAGCCTACAGTGCAGGGAAGCTCCTGAGATCAGATTTAAGGGCTCGATATTCCTGCTCTACACCAGTCGTGCCTTCTCTTGGTGACTGCCCTGACTACTGTTCTACAGGCTGGCAGTGTTTGGCTGACTGGTGATGGTCACTAATAATAATTAATGCACTGAGATATGTATATACATATATATATATACATTACAATACATTTTTAAATTTCTGCATTTATCTTGGGATGCACTGATGTATCAGGCTGATAGCTTACATTAGACAATAGGCTTCAGGAGTATGAGGTCTGAAAGCTCATCAAGTGTCCAAAATCAAACAGGTTCTTTATGTGGGAGGCAAGAATGTAATCAGTGAATGTTACAGTAATCTGTCCAATACATTTTAAAGATATCTGGTGGTGGTGTTAGAGGAAAGGTCAGAAAACATTTAGGGCATTGTGAATAGTTAGAGGAGTTATTATGGAAGCATGGCCATTAGTTTTTGACTGACATAGAGAAAATTGGAAGTGATGCTGGTGCTAGCAGAAAAGTCAGGAAGTCACTCAAATAATTTTGAGAATTATTGTTCCCATAGAAGCATCCTATGGGGACAATGAAGATTCTTAGCAATGTAATGACAATCTGACAAATAATTTTGAGGATATCAATATAATAGACGTACAGATGTTAAAGGAATAGTTTGATTTATTGAGAAATTATCTTGTTTGCTTCCTTGCTGCTAGTTCAATACCACTGTATGCTAAATATGAAGTTAGTCAGCAGGCAATTAGCTTACTTTAGCATAAACTCTGCAAACAGAGGGGCTCTGTCAAAAAGTATGAAATTCACCTATTCAGCAGCTAGCTCCAGTAAATTAGCAGTAGTTTCTACAGCTTCCGGTCTTTGTGCTAGGCTAAGCTAACCACCTACGGGCTAGCTGTAGATCAATTTTAGCATACAAAGATGAGAGTGGTATTGATCTTCTTCTCTAATTCAACTCAACTTCATTTATATCATTTATATAGCTGTAAGTAAGAAAGTGAGTAGACATATTTCCCAAAATGTTGAATTTTATCCTTAAGGATAACAATGATGCAAAGCTTATTAGCCTTCTACCCATCAAAGGAGCTCATTATTACAAAAGGATATGTATCAGTGCATCCCACTTGTGTCGTATGTCCTAGTTTGACCTGTGAAACTACACTATCTCAATCCTGTCCTCTTACTTGAAACTTCCCATAGGTTGCCATCAGCCCAGATACCTTATCATGCATCACATCCAGTTACCTAAAACAGACCCATCATTTACTCTTATTTAGATTTTAATGATATTTTAGTGAAGTTATAGACTATATATACAAGATATGTGACTTGTATTACTATTTATCCAAGACATTTGGATATTTTGTTGCTTACAGTAATGTACAGCAGCGAAAAACTCAGTCTGCATTGTACATAATATTTGACTTTTATGGATAAAATATATGGATTTACCTTTAGGGAGAATCACATTTGTAGCAGTTTGACACAACCCTTCTGTAGATTAACTGGATAACAAGATAGAAATTCTGTTTGTCCATGTATGGAACAAAGCTAAAACCTCAAAGAATGTTAAATGTTGTTCAGAACAGAGTATGAAAGTCCATCTCAATTATTTTGTTGCATTAGTACTGTGATATTTTCAGAAATGGGATGCTTCTTTGTTGTGTGAACACTTGTGTGTCCAGTTGACAAGGGGTCGGACAGTAAACCTGACATGAATAAACCAGAATCAAACAGCTCTCTCCTGTTCTGTTGAGTAGATGTGATGTTAAGACACTAATTTTAATGGGATTTGAAGGGAAATTGTGTCAGCGTTAAGCCATGAACAATGAGACTGTTAGTCCAATGAAACTGACTCCCAATGAAACTGCCACGTATAGTAGAGGTCAATAGGGACCCAAGACAACATTTTTGCCCCCCTAAGAGGTTAATCCAGCCTTAAGCACTGGTAATTTGTTGAACCAGCTCCTGGAGCAGATTAAGACTGATGGAAACAATGAGACAAGTGAAATCAGGCAATTTGAATAAGAGTGTGCCAGCAGCTCTGTGAGGCTGTACTCAGGCACACTGCTGCATATAGCTAAATGCTTGCAGGTGTATTTACCATGTTCATGATGAAAATGTCATTAGTCTGCTGGTATTTGGTCCCAAACCAAAGTATTAGGAAAATTAAATTTTGAGCTCATGATGGCGCTAGATGGAAAGTTAAAGGCCCTCAAGTTATTCAATTAATCCGGAGGAGAACACACTCTTGAAAAGAAGGCAAATAAGCACATTTCTCAAAATAGTCAACTATTCCTTTTAGTAATTCCCTCTAATGTCACTAAAGGTCGCAGACACACGTTTGTAATCTGCTGTCAGGGTGGACAAGACTATCTGAAAACATGTTGCCCAGATATGAAGCAAGGACAGAGTGGATTGGAGTTTGTGTGTGTATGTGTGTGTGCCTGCAGATACGTGTGTACGTGTGCGTGTGTGTGTGTGTGTATGTGTGTATGTGTGTGTTACAGCTTTATGCTCTAATGATGGTGCGTGTGGATTAACCAGGATCGGATAGGCCCGGTTAATCCCTCTGAAAAGGACAGAGTTGACCCAATGCGACCTCTGACCCCACCAACAGGAAGTGAAATTCCCCAATCAGAGCCAAGGAAAGAGTCAGGTGCCATTTAACACACTCTCTTTAACCTCTGAAACATAACCACCATACTATGCATGATGTAAGAGGCCAGATGCAGAGCAGGAGGAGCAAAGCACTTAAAATTCAGTGCACTTTCATGCATTCAGGTCTAATAACTGAGAATAATTATTAATAAGAATTGGATAGAAAGCAGGAATAAAATGTTAGAGATGAGTTAATGCAATGTATATCCTGTTTGTTTCCTTTCCGCTGTTAATAACTTGTGAATAAAACAGTGATGTTTTGTTTAAGCTCTTTTCTATTGTTTGAATGTTAAGCCATGCACTGCAGGGCAGTTTTTGTGTTGTTTCTGACCTTCTTTAAATACAACTGTAGTCTAAGTCTAGTTCTTTTTTTACATGGAGATATAGTTTTTATTCAGTTAACTGTTATGAATGGATCATTGCTTATGAGAAAAAGTATTTAAAACTAAATAGAAGTGCATGTAAGATGACATGAATAAAAATATATTAATTTCTTTGAACATCACTAAAAGTTTTACATTTATTTTTAATTAAATTCTTTGCAATAAATTAAAAATGAATAATGTCAGCAATGGCAACATAATTCAGAAATTTTACAGTTTACTTTTATGTTTACATTGCAACATTAACAAACCTGCTTTATATAAAGAAATTGGTATTTTGATGAGTGTAAAACTCAGAAGACTATTTTTTTTACTATTAGTATTTAGTGTTGAGAATTGGGTTTTCCCAGGAGTCTATCATCAGAACACAACACAGAAAAAAAAATTAAATTTCATATTTATGGATGTGGATGTCAGTGGAGGCCCATTTACGACAGGAAAGGGGACGAATTGGTTGCTTGGTGTCTCTTTGTAGTTGTTTTGTGTTTTTCTTTGGTCATTTTGTATTTGCTAGTCATTTTGAGACTTTTTGTTGTTTTGTGTCTAACTGTGGTTGTTTTGTGCCTGTGTGGTCGCCCTGCATCTCTGTAATTGTTGTCCATCTCTTTATGGTTGTTTTGTGTCTCTTTGGGATTGTTTTGCATGTATTTGTGACAACTTTGTGTTTTTATCTGACTCTTTCAAAAAAAAACAAAAATCATCTCTCAAGCCGCTGCCCGGTTGCTCGATCTCTGGATCTCACGGTAAAAGCCTTCCAGCCCTCATGCTGCTGATGTTTCCGACACCACCCGAAGGCATCACCAGCCTCTGGTAATCCATCAAAACGTCTAGACTGTGCAGATTATGCAGATACTCCTCTGACACTGATATCACTCCTCTGATTGGACAATAATCCTGATCCCGCCTATCAACATTTGATTGACAGACAATTGACTAATAACAACAGGGAACACGGCTGTCATCTGACTCGAGATTGGTGAATTGGTCTGGACAATATGAACGGCAACATGTATTGTTCAACGTCTTCTCAAGGCAGCAGCAACTTTGTGGTGTCCAACTCCGGCAAGTCTTTAAACAGTTTTCTTACACCGTTTCGACCATAAATTTAACCGATAAAGTTTGTCGTTGTTGTATCAGCACATGAAGAGGATTTAGAGAAAGAAAAAATTGGTTAACATTGCGTCGAAAGAAGCTAACTGCTGAACGTAAGTTACAGCTGTAGTATATTCATCTGAGCTGGGATTTAAACGGTTAACGCTAAACTCCGTTAGCTGAACCGGCTAATTTATTTGCAATTACAAGCTAAGAAAATTCTTCTAACTTTCTTATACGGAGTTGTTAAAGTTTTGTAGTTAATAATCGGAGCTAATGTTTTTAAAAGCAGGTGTTTTTCTTATAAACCGCATGAAGGTACAAGTTCCCCGTTATCTTTGCGTTAGGTTCCCGTTTTTAGTTTAGCTTGTTGTGGCCAGACTCCATTTAAGTCTTGAAACTAATTTACTTCAGGGGTGGCTTGAGTTGCATTTTATTGAATGTGATTAACGTTAAAGATGTTTTATGAATCCTTAGGATCTATTCTTCAATTCGGCATGAACTCGATATTCAAAGATATATTATTTATTGTAGGTTGTTACTTATTCTTCGGATTTCCCCGTTATCTTTCCTAACTAAGCTCAATGTTACACGGCGGTGGCAGTAACAACCAAACTCTAGAAACTGAGATTTTATCTGAAACAGATTAGTTATTTGTTGGTTCACTCACCTGCCGAATTGATCTGAAAATCACAATGAATCGTTTGAAATCATGTCCTGTAATAAATAATAATGTTCCATTAACGGGTGTGATGATGACAATAAATTGCCCGTTTTCTAAACGGAATTTCCCCCCACCGGAACTTGTCCAAATGTCTTGTTTTATTGGCACCACAGACGAGTGTTGGTGTGTGGCAGGAGAGTCAGCTCTCCACCTGTCCTGGAGATGGGGGATCCAGAGCCTCCAGAGTTTGGGTCCCTGAAGGAGGAGCTGGAGTACTGGAAGGAGCAGGCTGCCAAGCACCAACAGAGGTGTGTCCCCCCTGTTCTTGTTGTTTTTGACAGACGAGAAAATGTTTTCAGTCCTTCTTTTCGTGGTTTCTCGGCTTAAAAAATGTGTAAAAAAAAAAAAAAAAAGTGTTTAACTGTGTACACTTAATAAAGCTGGGGTATATATTTACATTACATTGTGATATGAGAATACACTTTTTCGTTAATTTGCCTGCAGTGTTGTCCTTGCTTTTAGGACAATCCAAGTTTTTGTATCTTTAGATGACCTTATTTCCCATATTTCTGTATGTGTGTTCTTTACCTTCCAGGCACTCAATCAGAAAATGTTTTAATAACCTCCATGAATAAAATATGGAGCCCTTAAAGCCCTGAAAGATGATATTTTTTAATCCTGTTATATAATTTAACATTTCGTTTGAACAAGTTAACATCTTGTGACAACAAGATAATAAATAGTGGGCATAACATTGAATCTTTCATGATTTCATGGGCTCTGTTGTAAATTCTCAAAAATAATCAATGACTTTTCATTGCTCTCCAGTTCAGTTTGTAGAAATGTGAGTCTGTAGGCACTCCTGCAAGAAAAACTATTGTGAACCTTTAGGTGTTTTCCTATTAAACACATTTCTGTGATGTTTAGACTTTTGTGTTTAATCCATAATACCCAGAACTTCTTGTGGTTTGGTGGGAAAATGATCAAGTTAAGTTGTTTGTCCAAATGGGTCTGGTTTAGAACAATTCTTGCTTAGAACTTAGAACTAGAACTTTCTTCTTAGACCGTGTCTTGTTCTACCCCAGATTTAAGTGAGAACTGTGTTTTTTTTAAAACCAGACAATTGAAATTCCATCAGACAAACTGAATTACTGTTAAAAATAATGTAACATATGACATTAATTCTTTGTGTATGTGTGTGTTCAGTGCGGAGGAAGCTCAGGAGGAGCTGCAGGAATTTCAGCAGATGAGCCGGGACTACGAGGGGGAGCTGGAGACGGAGCTGAAACAATGTGAGGCGCGAAATCGTGAGCTCCTATCTGCAAACAACCGCCTTCGCATGGAACTGGAAAACTACAAGGTACAGAGGATGTTATCAGTTCTTACAGTACTTTTCATACACTATCAAAAATGTTAATATCCCACGTCCCAGCTTTACAAACTAACACCAAGGCACTGAAAACAAAGACACTACCCTTGAAGGTGGTTTAGAAATAATATTCAGAGAAAGTTTAAACTCTGCGATGAGGCACTTGAACTGTGGATGGTTCAATAATTGGTAAATAAAGCAGTGCACCACTAGATGTACTACTCATGTAATATATCCTCCTGACCCTCCCTGAAGGCTTTGAGAAGCATCTGTAATACAAGTCACTGTCTCAACATGCTTTTGTAGCCTACACTGACACTACATAAAGCTGCTGTGTCAGGCTTGTCCAGGGTTGAAAGGTTATTTTGAATAACAGTTGACCAACTGAATGCTCACTAAAGTGGATTTGACTGGGGATTTCCATAATTATCAGCTAAAAGCAGTTGCATTTTATGGCTCCTGTTTGCCTGTGGTGAATAGGCTTCATTGGCGCTCTTGTCTGAACACACACACATGCACACTGTCACAGAGGACTGATTCAGGATGGAAACAGGCAGCTGATGCCTCCTGCCTGGTCCGTGTCTGGAGGGGATGGCAGTACTTCCCATAAGACTCATTCCAGTAATGTCACAGTTCACTCGCCCCATTTTCTCTTCGAAGAAAATGTTTATCCTTCTTCTGAGAATATGGATGATATCAAGCATTTTGAAGGATGGTGGCTCAGTAAAAAAAAAAAACATAAAAACAAAGCTTAAAAAAAATGTACTTAAAACAAAAATATCTAGTGGCGATAGAAGAACTGATCGCTACGTGTTCCACTCCTGGAGCCTTGTTTATTCTCAAGGCAGCGTTCCCGATGGGAGGCTGTGAGGCTTGAGGTTAACTTTGATTCAGTTTTCAGGACAGAATTAGTCACACTGTAGGAAAATTAAGATGTTTTGTAGTAGTTTGCATGGTATTTAGAAGCACTGAAACTGTTTCCAAACCTATATAAGTATTGTTTGATTATAAAGCAGGTCTAGGTTCTATATTAATACTAATAATAAAGTATCAGAGCCTCAGTCCACAGAGAAATGCACAGAGCCTGTATTCAGAAACTGAGCCTTAAAACCAGCCCTCAGGACTTCTGGAACTTTGTGATGTCATAACAAAGCAGTCACCGCTCCAAGCTCCGCCCACCTGGATCCACCATCCAACCTTGCAGGATTTTGTTTCTCTGAGTGTTTACATTTACATTTACATTTACATTTACATTTACATTTACTCATTCAGCAGATGCTTTTATCTAAAGTGACTTACAAGTGAAGGACATCGGTAAGCTTCAGTTCAGTGGGAACTTTGGTGTAAGTATTAAGTACTACACCTATTCAATAAATGCAAGGAGATTGTATAAGGAAGTGCAGTAAAAGTACATAGTAAGTGCTAGTTAGCCATGTTACGGTTTTCGGAAAGGAGGTGATCGTGGAAGAGATGATTTTTCAGGACATTCTTGAAGATAGAGGGACGCCCCTCCTCTGATTTGGAAGCTTGTTCCACCACCGGGGGAATCACAGACCAGAACGGTCTGGACTGAGATTGTCTTGTGTGCAGGGATGGCAACGCCAGATGAAATTCCTTGGAGGAACGCAGGAAAGATTTGCTTGAAATCTGCTATATTTTATTTGATCACTCAGAAAAGACCTGTTGTTACTGGAGCTCCAGAGAGAAGCCTGAGAGAGGAAACTATATTGAGATGAAACACAAATATATCTTCTTATTGAAAACACAAGAAAAGTGTAAAATATGAGACCTTTTAATACACATTACAAGGCTTCAGTCATAGTATTTACCTCACACTGACAGTGTGCAGCACATATGTACCAGTGTAGTTTGAAAAAGAAGGAAAGTGAAGGAATCGTTGGTAATTGGGAAAATAAATAAACAGATTCAACAGGAGCTTGGAAGGTGGTCTCACAATAATGATTATAAAAATAACAACGACAATGACATTCATGATAATAACACTCATTTGCCAGTTTATTAGGTACACTTAGCTAAAACTAATGTGGTCTAATACAACAGTCCAGCTTTTCTTCATACTGGTTTTGATTCAACTGTATGGTCATTTTGGAGGCTACATGTATGTAAATAAAATAAAACACCTTCAAGAAAAGCCTAATTACCTTCATAATGGTAGGATTTATTGCAAGAGTGTAGTGTCAGACTGACCTATTTATGGCTTGGTTTAACTGGCAACTGAGTGTAATAATAATAATGATGAGTAATAATAATTGTATTGGTGTAGAGGGGCATGTTAGCCAAAGTAAACACAGCCTGACACTTGAGATCTAAGAGCCCCTCAGTGATTCCACAACAAAAAGTTTATGAAAGATGAGTAAATATAATATTTTATATAGTTACTCATTAGTTTTGGCTTCAGGTCTAACGGAGGCCTGTTCTAAAAATTAGACGAAAAAATACTTAATGTTAAAATTCAGTTCAGATACATGTAAAAAGTGAATGAGAAACTCACAGCTGGAGCTGGCAGAGCCTGTACTCCCTGTCAGAGCAGTGAAAGGGTTTTATCTCAGACACCATTTATGTCCAGTATGCAGGGACTTCATGGTATTTAGTTCAAACATGCTGAAGCTTGAAACAGCGTTGTGTTGTGTGATACATGCTCCTGTGAGTCTCAGTGTCTCCTTTAAGCTCAGAACAAAGAATATTTACCACTGTAAGACAAATGAGGACAATTGTGCAGAGCTCCAGCTTTTGTTAAAAGAAAGTGGTATTAATTCCATAGTTTCTGCTTATGACATTGAGCCTCTCCAGTATTAATCCTTGTCGTCAGTTCTTGCTCTGTTGTCCTCCACCAGAGGATTTTGTTTCTGTGAAGGAGCTACCAGATATCAAGTCTTTAGAGGAGCTAATGTAACAGCTTTCATCAGCTTCTGTTAATCAAAGATCATGTTCTGTGACCTTTGGTTTAACAAATTGTTTTGGGACATTTAGGAGTTATGCTTTGAAGTTGAAATGTATCCTTTTTTTGGGGCAGTTTCAGCTCAGTAGCTCAGTATTTACTCAGTGACTTTCTCCCTCCTCTGCTGTCCTCCACACTTCATATTGTGCCTTTTTTTTTTTTTTTCTTCCCCTGACACTGCTGCCGGCCTCCTGCCAGGACAAGTATGAGACGCAGCACTCTGAGGCCTGCCGGCAGATCTCCAGCCTGGAGGGGGACCTGGCTGAGACCACGGCCATCAGAGACCATCTTCACAAATACATCAGAGAGCTGGAGCAAGCCAACGATGACCTGGAGAGAACCAAGAGGTCAGACGTGGTGGATGGCCACTGAACACATTAGAGAACTTGAAGAAAAAACTGTGATTGTGCAGCTGTACTAAAACAAATTAACTCTCTTATGTACTGAACAAAAACCATGTGGCTTTCACAAGATGAACCAAAATTTAGTCATGATTGTAAAACTAAAAAAAAAAAGAGAAATGAGCCTTGATGTTCAACAGATCTTACTGTGTAATCTCTAACTGTGAGGGTCACTATCTGCTCCACCATCGTCTGCCTGTTCACAGTACAAGTAGCACAGCCAACAAGACTGCAGACAGTCCTCTGAGAGATAATTATACAATCAAGTGTTAATGAATAAGAGATCAACATGGATTAGTATTTACTGCCATAAATAAAAAATGTGCTCACTGTAGATTCAGATGAGGTAAATAAAGGCTTTTGCCTCCTAACAAGAAAACAGAAACTGTGAGTGTCGGATTAACTAAAGTTTTTAAATTTGATGCATTTTGCTGCTCGACCTGACTCCTCAATCTCTTTCCACCATGTGTGGTGGCTTGTGTTTATTTTGAGCCTTTTTTTAAATAAGAATTTAATTAGATTAGCCTCATTTTTTAAAAATGAGATTTTATTTAGATTTGCCTCTAATTTTCCTTTTTTCAGATAAGATTTTATTTAGATTTGCTTCAGTTTTTAATTAAAAAAAAAAGAAAAAGGAAAAAAGATTCTATTTAGATTTGTATTTGCGTATTAGCTCAGAAATCCAACAACTGAACTGCACCTATGAACTCTCCTTCAGCTGCACAATGTGTGTGGAGGCTCAGTTCAGGAGTGGACAGTGAAATGAGCTGCAGCCTTGATAAATCGGGCATTAAACACATGCAGACTGCTGCTCTCATATGTATGAAAATGTCATGCACACATCCACTGATGTTTCCCTTTGTTTGTCTCGTATGTTTCAGGGCGACCATCATGTCACTGGAGGACTTTGAGCAGAGGATGAACCAGGTCATAGAGAGAAATGCCTTCCTAGAGAGCGAGCTGGACGAGAAGGAAAATCTCTTAGAGTCCGTCCAGAGACTGAAGGACGAAGCCAGAGGTAGAGCTTGTGTGATCTGAGATGAGATCTATCTGCAGTAACACTGTCCTGCTGTAGAGAAAACTCTCTCACTTGGTACAGATGTAGGTAACCACGTGCAAACTGCATCCACAGTGATGCAGCCTGTGGCCTTGTATGAGGCGATGTCCTCCTGTGTGGTGTGATTTCTTTTCTGGGGAGGAGATGACGTCTCTGGGTCTGTTGAAGATGAACTGGCCACCTGGGCTTCACTGGGTTGACCCTGCAGAATAAAATAAGACATAGTGTAATTAGTAAAATATCAACAACAAAAAAACTTTCATGGCAGCAAAGAAACAAAAATGATTTTCTGCTGGGCAGTGGGGAAAAGGAGAAGGATGCAAAGGCAAAAATATGCAATGATAATTAGTTAAAACTGCATGGAATATAGTTCTATATAAAATAAAATAACAGTACAACAATACCTGCTTTCTTTGGTTAAATCACTGTATAGTTCCTTCCTCCAGTTAAAGCAGGGACTTGTACCTTGGATCCGGTCCTGAAAATGAGGGTTTGTGTAGCGGAGATGATCATGATTTCCAAATTTTATGTTCAATCAGCTGATTTAATGTTTGGGTTTTGTTTTTTATTTTTTATATTGAAAACAGTCTAATAAACAGGCATATAGTGACCTATTAAAGAAAAAGATGAGTAACCATAGTTTCCAGGGGAAGAATAAAATATATATAATATTTATAAATTAACTCAGACAAAATAGAAAGAAAATAGAGCGTAGGGAGCTGTTTATGTTCAGTAGATATAAATTAATGTGTCAGAAAAAAGGGAGGTGAAGAGGTAATGTCATTTTATCATCTGAGAGTATGTCTGACAGAATGTTTAGTTTTGTGTCTGACAGCTGATTAATATCTGTGTGTATGTATGTGTGTGTGTGTGTTAGACTTGAGGCAGGAACTGGCGGTGCAGCAGAAACAGCAGGTACAGGACAGGAAGCCGTCCCTCAGCAGTGTCGTCAAAGACCCTTCATCATCTTCCTCCTCCTCCTCGGCTGGGCTGCCCACCCCACCTCTCACCCCTCCAGATAAAAGAAACGAGGAGAAAACCACGTCTTCGTCCACTAACCAGCCCGTCCCCTCCACCACCACACCGTCCAGACCTCCAGCCCCCGCTGAGTCTCTCACCACCCCGCCCCCCTCCATCAGCAGAGGTCAGTTCATCAGCTGATCAGAAACCAGTTTGTGCTTCATGTGCGTTTGTTACACCAGAATAAAATCTTCACACTCACCCTCTGAGCCGTGGACTGGTACTGGTCCTTGATCACTTGCTCTCAGGATGCAAGGAAACATCACCTGTGACTCAGCCAATAAAACTGAATCATAATAATAATAATAATGATAATTATAGCTGCAAGCAAGTTCTAACCCCTTTGCACTCAACAAAGAGAAGCAGCCCAATTCTAGCTAATTACGTAACTTAGTTAAAAGTCCATCATCCATAATCCAAGTCCAAGAGGCTTTTTGGTAGAGCACATTGAGCTGTACTTGTGTGTCAAATTTCAAGTCAGTCAGACCAAAGGTGTGAGGGACGTGGCCTTTTGAAAATTACTTTTTCGAGCCTTAATTCTATCCCTTCAGGGTTAGTAATGATAATAATAATATAGATCTTAATTGAGCATTTTTTTTTACAGTAGTAACCTTGAACCTGTTGCAGTCTGTGCTGCATTTCTCCTCATTACTCTCTGTCGTGCCCCAATAATAATGTACACTATAAAATATAGATCTAAACCTGAGGTAACCAGTCACCATGACCTTTTAGCGTTTAGCAGTACATGAAATTTATTTTTGGCCTCCTGGTATTAGTGAAATACTTCAATATAAAAACCCAATATAAAACCTACTCATACATAAAAATTCACTTCGCCTCTCAGATATGATTTTTCATTTTCTCGTCCTCCATGCGCTCAGATTCAGATGATCTTGAACGTTGAAAGAACATAATTCTGGGACCTTTGTCAACATGACTTTTTTTGCCTTTGGATCCCCTGATCTAAAGCAAAGAGAACAAGTCAAAGAGCTGCTGATTGTGCTGCAGATACCAGCGTCCCTCGAAGTGTCATAAGAAACAACAAACAGTAGAACTGAGCTGCTGTTTGTATTTTTATCTTCCAGTTTTTTTTAAATCCAGACTTAAGGACGGCATTTTATCATAGGCTCTAATCAAATAATTAAATGATTTGGTATTCATAGAAAAGATGAAGGCACGGGAGTTGCATGTAATCAATTTGTCGTTCGACAGAATTTTATTCTGATAATTGAGTAATTGTGTAAGTCTCAAACACTCTGGTTTCAGCTTCTTCTCACTGGGGATTTGCAGGTTATTATTTGTTCTCTGTGTTACATCATTGTAACTGAACTCTGGACTCATCAGTGGGTTTGTCTCTGCAGCTGAAAGCCTCTCAGGGACTCCTCTCACCACCTCGGCCAGAATCTCTGCTTTGAATATCGTCGGAGAGCTGCTGAGGAAAGTCGGGGTAAGAACCACTCTTATGGTTTCTGTTAAGAATGTTTAATGAATGGTAACGAATCAACCTGTTCACCCTCTGTGTTCTTTATCAAATGGTAACTTATCATCATGTGACGCTGCAGGGTGCTTCTGCTTACACTCACTGTGGTTTAGTAAACAGCACACAAACAGCTTCTTCCCCTGAGCTCAAGAATTAACTGATTTATTTTTTTTTAGAACAAGCATAGAAAGCACAGTCAATAATTATAGAGATTTTTGAATGTGGACAAACACGGTCTGCGCCCAGACTGTAGGGAAACATTCACTGATAATGGTTTTCAGGGGTTGAAACATCTGCACTTCATCCACTGTCATTGTATTTATATTTCAATACCTTTTTCAAACAACATACACCTAATAAACTTAAACCAAATATTCACAAAACAAAAAAAAAAACAAACAATCAAAACCCTCCCATAAACACAGAAACCAATAGGACGGACATGTTATTGGCTAATGATGTTGATCGTTGGTCGTTTTATCCACCGATTTAATCCAGACAACTGCTGCCAGGAAATACTGCAAAGACATTCATGTTCACCAGAGGATGGAACCCACTTACTCTAATGATCCACTGACTGACTGTTGGTGTCACTAGAGAAAAAGTCACATTTTTGGTATTTGATCAAACATCTCTACAACCACTGGATGGATCGCCATGACATTTTATACAGACATTCATGGTCCTCAGAGGATGAATGTTAATGATTTTTCATGTAGCACAAACAAACAACAAACAAACAAATGACTAAAACACTTAAAATGTAGAGAGATTACAAGCAGTTCCAGACAGACTGTAAGTAGTTTATGTGTAAATGTCTCGAAAGACTGTTTTTCTTGTGTGGAAACTCTTCACATATTGATCTCTCTGCTCACACCAGCCTCACACAAATAATAATAAACCTCTATGATCATTGTATTTACATCCTCACAGCTGCTAAAGATCTTAACCTCAAGTTTTATGCATTTACACTTTAGTTTTTTTTTCCCTATAAACAAATATTTCAGTCTCAGAGCTGCTGGTGTGACTCTTAGGGGGTCCTGTTCCAGATTAGATTTCTCTCATCATAACAGACACATCGATCTCTGAACATTAAACATAGTGTTGTTGCTGTGGTCGATCAATGATCTGAAGCTGAATATATTTACAGAAGAATTAAAAAATTTTTTTCTTTCCTCATCACTCGTAGAACCTGGAGTCCAAACTGGCATCGTGTCGAGACTACGTCAACGAGCAGGCAGCTCATCGCAGAGGTCACGCTGGCGGACAGGGGGCGCCGGCAGGCCAGAACAACTCCTCAGAGACCCATCCTACCAACGGCCTCTGCAACAAGGGGTGAGGTGGTCTGTCCTGCACGGGGCAGCAGGTTTACAACAAGCAGCTCTCATGTTGAGATTAGTGAAGTAATGGTAATGTTATATAACCAATTTTTGGTTATAGAAGAAGAAGCAGCTCTCTAATTTTGTGTGTGTGTGTGCGTGCGTGTGTGTGTGTGTGTGTGGGTGTGGGTGTGTGTGTGTGTGTGTGTCTTCACAGGCTGGTGAAGAGGTTAGACTTCGGAGCGGGACCCAAGCTGCTGCTGTGAAGGCGAAACCATCGTCTGCCTCGATCTTTAATCCTCTGAGCTGCTCGGCCCCTTCCTGTCCATCCGGCCCGGACCTCTCAAACATTTAACGGTACTGTGTTTTGCACATCAGGCAGGTGGTTTCACACCACCTGCTGTCTCTTCAGGACACGGACCGCTCTGATAGGAAGCTGCAGTGATGAAATGGATGGATTTGTTAATGTGGATACTCTGGGATTTCTGTGACCAGCTCAGATCTTTTCAGCACTCGCACTTAGCTTGAACTAACTCACTGGACTGGTGCTGCATGTCACCTGTTTGGATTTGACAAGTACTTTGCGCTTTTTTTGTGTCCCTCTGAAGGTGTGTTCAGACTGAATGCAAAGTGAGTTTCAGAGACAAACAGAGTTGATGAAAAGACTCAAACAGATGCAGGTTTGCTCTTGGCAAAGAGACAAAGATCCATCCACTCAAACTGAAAATGGTTGGTCATCATAAATCTGTGCTGCTTAGCAGAAATCTCCCATAGGTGTTCAGCTTGGTTGAGATGTGGTGACTGTGAAGGTCACATAATTGTCACACTAATCAAACCATCAGTGACCCCTCATGCCCTCTGAATGGAGAGACTGTTGGTGGACAGTGGACAAATCTTGTTTATGGATTTGCTTCATTTTCAAAACGTGAGAGTGGAGCAGGTGATGACGTGCCTCTGCTATCTTGCTTTTTTTTTTTCTATTTACACCGCAGTGCTACGATTCAAGAGGCATTCAGTGCACAATGTGACATGCCTCAGTTGGATTTTAATACAAGCCCACACAGTGTGACCGACAGTAAACCTGTACCATCTTTGTTATCACACGATCTGAAGGCATCTTACGTGTAAATGGGGTCAGTGAGTCTGATTGTTTCTTTTATTTTCCTCCAGACTTCCTAGCTGAGCTGTAGCATCGCATCACATCACATCACATCACATCACATCACACCACACACACACACACACACACACACACACACACACACACACACACACACACACACACACATTGGTCCTGTTGTCTATTGATTGTTAGACTCAGTTTGCTAAAACAAACCTGCACAATTAAAGTAAAAGTGAAATGAGCTTTTCGTTCAGTCTGAACAACCTTGAAGGCGTTTGAGAAATAAATACTGGAGGGGCACTTTTATCTACGTCAGATGTCGTTTGAATACTTTAAAACTTTTTGTCCATATAATTTATGCTGTTATGCCTCCACAGTCACATTTGTTGAATGAGTTGCTGATGAAACTCCACCAACAACAAAGTGTGATGAGTCCTTGAGAGATTGAAAAAGAGAATGACAGTCTTTTTTAAGCTAATGTTTTAGTCCAGGAAACATTATAAATCAAATGTTTTTTTTTACAGATTAATTAGTTTCCAAACCGTAGGCTGCAGAAGAATGCAGACTCTGAATCTGTGTTGTCACCTAAATTTCTGATTTGAAGTGTGGAGCCTGGATTCACTGCTCGCAGCTTCCTTTGCAGCTTCCGAGGGAAGAAAACTCTAATATGATCTAAGGGAAAAGGACGTGTTGAGCTCACCTGGGACAAGAAAGTAACAAACACCGTGGCTGAATGTGATTGGCCAAGACTAACTGTACCTCTCTGTAAGCCTTAATGTTTTAATGGAACACTGTTTTTATATCTGTGGCAGACGTTCAGTTGGTTATTTATGGGAATAATGTTGTGTGGAAAACTTTTATTTTGGATTTCAAAAGAGAAACTGTTGAAAGATTTTCTGAACCTGGTGGTCATCAGTGGTTCTGCATCTTAAAGCTGCCGTATTTAATGTTTTTATAACTGTCTATGGTTCATGTTTTCTTCCATGTGCCTGATGGAAACAGGATTTTTACTACAGATTGTCAACATTTTAGCTTTTTCCCAGTTTGCAGTGAAGTTGTCATTTGGGTTATTTGGCCCCAATCGTGATCCAAGTTTTTTAATATTGAGTATTTTTGGATACTGAGTCCAAACTGATATTTAAATGTACCTAAATTACACAGGTGTTCAGTTCACTCAAGCTACAACCTGAAAATGAGACAAGATGAAGCTTAATTCATCCCAAAAGTAAAATGATGCTCAGTGCACATAGTAAAAACAATTAAAACGTTATCAGGAGAAGATCAACAGCGATGATTAAATATGTAACCGGCACACTTCAGAGCTCCGCTTCAGACTGGAGACTCTGCAGAGCTCCGCTTCAGACTGGAAACATTCTGCAGAGCTCCACTTCAGACTGGAGACTCTGCAGAGCTCTGCTTCAGACTGGAGACTCTGCAGAGCTCTGCTTCAGACTGGAGACTCTGCAGAGCTCCGCTTCAGACTGGAGACTCTGCAGAGCTCTGCATCTGTCTTTCCAGGAGTGAAACTGCTAAACTCCTGTTAATGAGGAGATATGAAACTTCAGTGAAGGCTACTTGTGTTTTATGTTAAAAAGAGAAAAGTATGTAATAGATTGACTCATAGTGTTATAAAATGTACCTCTGCTGTAGGGTTACTAATGTAGGTTGAATATCTGTAGGTTGTGGTTCAGTTGCTTGAGTCTGTGGACAGGACTGACTGACAAGTAGATGCTCAGGTGTAACAGACAGGACCTTCAAAGTAAAGGTCAGTGTGTGGAAACAGGTGGAAAATGGTTGGATTTTTTTATTTTTTATTTTTTGCCTTATGTGATCTCAAAGTACTTACTCATATATGAAGTGCTCAGACCTGTTCTGTTGTTTGTTGTTTTTACCTTCAGTGCTGCTTATAATGCTTCTCAAAAAGCAATAAAACTTGAAATGAAAATAAAATGTCACTGATTTTACTTATTGTAGAAACTGGAAGAAGCGAGACACCAGATGAGTTTAGTAACAGTTTTAATAGCACTGGTTCACAGAAAGCAGAAAGTCTGTTGTACAAATCACCTTCATTATAATTATATAATTGTATATTGTGAATCTGTGAGGTTTTAATCACACTGCCTAATCAGGAATGAATATACAACAGTTGGTTTACAAATATAGTTTTACATTCAGTTTCCAAACTAAGAGTTTCTTTCTAAATATTAAAACCCTCTGAGGATGTGCATGAAGAGTAAAGTCAGCTCCAGGTGGTGAGACACAGAACTGAGCAGCTGATTTTCAGAAACATAAATACCTGTTAATAAATTAATTTAACAGATATAACATGTCCAGAATCCTTAAAGTCTCTTCACACAATTTAGAAGAAAAGATATTTCATCCAATGCACAAGAGACAGGTTAAAGGGTTTAGGTTGCAACTCTTATTTTGCAATCCCAACAAAGACTTAGATGGAAATGACAGTGTCTCTGCACAATATGAGCAACCTGAATCAAAATGCCAGATTGTATTTTTAGTTATATGATTATGTTCAGGCTCCCTGGAGAGGAAATATTTTTTTCACCCAGATGGTTAAAAAGAGTCTTTGAGGTTTCTGGAAAAAAAACAAAGTAGTTAAACAGAATCTGAATCAGCTCAGCTGTCATGGGTCATAAACAAGAGACTGACTTTTTGTGTGGGAATCTACCTGGAATATAAATAAATATAATCATATAAATAATATGTTAATCCACAAACATTGAAAATATTAGTGACAAGTTCTTAGCTTCACTTCAAATCAGAATCAGATCACAGGCACTTTGTTTACCTTGGAGATAATTTTCTTTTTTACTTTGTAAACTTTGAGGAGTTGAAATCTACGGTGTTCACACCTCCTCTATTGTGCTCATTCAATAACAGGTTTATTTCCCCAAATCAAGTTAAACAATTTTGAATCAGTCTGTGTAATAACAAATGCTGGTAAATCCAGTATTGGACTAACTCATGTGACGTTTTAACAGTTGTTTGACATTTCTTTTTTCATTCTTCTGTCACCATGACTAAAATATTTGCACTGATCAGGTTCAAACGGTTCTCCTGAACTGTGTTTTGTATAACATATATATTTATTTATATCTGAGAAGGGCAGATAAAAACACAGGTGAGTGATTCGTTACTTAATGGAGCTACAAAGAGAAGGGAAGAAATCATGGGACAGAGAAAAGTTTGGTTCATCAGCAACAGGTTTAGTGAAGGAAAACATGTAGCGAGGCCTGGTCGTTTCTTCCACTTGGACAGGTATGAAACTGATACGTGACATTTTGTTTTGAAACTTAAAATCCCAGAAGTCACTGAGCTCTGTAGACATTGATAAATATAGAAATTAGAATCAGTTTAAAACGTTTGCACAGCAACAGCCACTGAGGCTCATGGGTACTGGAGCAATTTCACATAAAAACTTAAATGAATCCTAATTTTGAAGCATGCTCATTAATAAAGGACCAAAAAGCTGTTTTAAATTTAACAACAAAATTTACTTAGTTCAGTGGTTCTCAAAGTTTTTTCACTTCAAGAACATATAGTGACACAAATTAGACCACAGACCCCCACCTGAGAAGATTTTTGCTTTTAGATGTTTTATAACAGACAGTGATTGAAACCCAAGACCAAAAAACTCATATATTCTGTCATTGTGTTACTTATGGACCCAATTATGGTCAAAATAAATTAATTCCCCTTTTTGCTGGGGACCTCCTCAAGGACCCCTGGAGGTTCCTGGACCCCACTTTGAGAACCACTGACTTAGAGGAAAGTGCATATTTAACAAAACAAAGGATCAGCAATCAAACCTAAAGAAAAAAAATATTTTAAATTACTTTTTAAAATTTTTGTCCATGATTCAAACTTGCTATTTTTTTCTTTTATATCCTCATCAATTGTTATAAACCTGGTTGATTATTTTGTCAATAAAATGTGAGAAAGATGGGAAATGTGGAATTTCCCAGAGTCAGGTGTTCAAACTTCTGGTTTTAACTGAGCGACAGTGTGAAGTTCAGTTCACCTTCATATGACAAAAAACATCAAATCCTAAAATATAAACATGTATGATCAGTGGCATGTTAGCTTTATTGTGGTAGAGACAGTGGGAAACTTTGTTTGGCCTCCAGATCTTTACACTATGTTGTGTTGTTTCCTTCAGTGCTGTTGTGATGTGAGATTGTTTTTGTCGTGTGTCTCTTTCCCTCAGATTGTTTGTGTAAATCATAAATCTTTACTGTTTGTGTCTTGTGTTTTGGTTTTCAGGAACATTGAGGCTTTTATTGTGAAAGGACACTTGAATTTTTAAATTTAAAGTGTAAAAATATTTCTGTTTTCTTTACTTGAGTGAATTCTAATCATAATGTCAAGTGTGGTCCCTTTACTCATCGGGGGAGCAGGTGTAGACCTCCCCGTGGGCATCCAGTGGGGGGGTGCAGGGTGGAGGAGACGGGGACCGAGGCTCCTCCTCCTGCAGCTCCACTGAGTTCTCCTTGATGGTGCTCCTCCGGCCGATGCTCCCTCCCATCCCGAAGCTCCTGATGCTGCCGCCGCCGCTGCTCCGAGGACTGGGGCTGCTGAACACCGCCTCCCCGCCACCACGCCTGGGAACACCCGACACATCAGGAGGAAGAGAAAGAGGAGGAAGAGGAGGGTCAGAGGGAGGTGAAAGACAGAGGAAGAAGACAGAGCAGAGAGAACTTGGTGGCTGGTTGCAAAGCGAGAATTAAAAAAAAAATTAAAAGTAAAAAATTAAGCCCCTGAAATGTTTGAGGTGTAAACTGCAGGATCAGGACAGTGATGAGGAGATCAAAGTAAGAAGCCTATTGAGGAAGAAGCTCTGAGGACAGATCACAGATCAGTGTCTGAGGAGAAGAGAGGAACAGGAGCCAGACATGAAAGGAGGAAAAGGAAATTTCAAATCACAAATGATCTTCAAGTTTAACAGTGTAAGTACAAAGAATCAGGGCTGAGTGGGATTTTTATCAGTGTAAAATACTTTGACATTTTACTTCAAAACCAAAGAGTAGAAAAACTCTGCCTCACTGTCCTGCCTCACATACATTCATTTTTACATAATTCAGTTTTTGATTTGCTGCACTGATTTTTGAGAAGCACTGAATTAATTGCTTAATTGATCATTTTATAAGTTGCCAAAAAAATATGAAAAATGTTCAAAACCAAAGTCCCATTCAGTTTTCTCCTGTTAACAGGCTCAGTGATCAGGTTTGAGAAACTAGAACCACATGTTTTTTGTAAAGGTCCATATAGTATAGAGGTAGATGTCCATGTGTTGTTTGATCATGAAGCAGGTCTATGTTCTATATTAATACTGTGAAATTATCAAAGCCTCAGTCCACAGAGAAATGCACACAGCCTGTATTCAGAAACTGAGCCTTAAAACCAGCCGTCAGGACTTCTGGAACTTTGTGATGTCACAACAAAGCAGTCACCGCCCTCAGCCATGCCCCAAGCTCCGCCCACCTGGACCCACCACCCAACCTTGCAGGATTTAGTCTCTCTGAGTGTTTTACTTGAAATCTGCTATATTTTTATTGGATCACTCAGAAAACAGTGAGCCAATCAGAAGAGAGTCTCAGAGCCTCCTCCTCTCTGATTGGCTCACTGACCTGTTGTTACTAGAGCTCCACAGAGAAGCCAGGGAGAGGTGATGTCCAACTACACTGAGATGGTTTTTGGTTCTTAAAACCACAAATATATCTTCTTATGAACACCACTTCAAATAAAACACAGAGAAGAGGAAAATATGGAGCTTTAAAACAATTGAATCAATTAATCAATTACAAATATTGTTGTCAAATAGTTTAAAATGACCAACTCCTCTCCACCTGTCTCCCCTCAGTCTGACCACTGTTACCTCAGTTTGCTCCTGAGCGACGACACCTCTCTGTTCAGGGCGTCATTGGCCTCGCTCGCCTCGTCCAGCTCCCTCTGCAGTTTCCTGCGAGCGGCCGCCATGCGCTGCGCCTCCTCCTCCGCCTCCTCCAGCTGATGCTTCAGCTGCTTCACCCGCACGTTGCCCTTCTCCGCCTGTGCAGCGCGGAAACAGAGTGGACGTGCCGTTGTATTTACAGGTGAATGACTGAGCGTGTGATAAACGATGTTTTGGCGGGTGCCTGAACGCAGCAGTGTTACCTGGTCTTTGTATTGCTGCGCCAGCTTCCTCTCATCCTCCATCTGGATCGTCAAATCCTTCAGCTTCTTCTCTCTCTGACGCAGATTCTTGGCGTTGGCCTGACGCTCTCTGCACAGTAATCATCATCATCATCATCATCATCATCATCATCATCATCATCATCATCATCATCATCATCATCATATTGAGTCTAATGCAAGATAATTTTCATATTCTCATACTAAACTTTCTCCTTTTTCTTTGGTTTGCTTGAATTTATTCTGCCAATGTTCATACTTGTCACATTGTGAGTTGGAATTAAACCTTTGGAACTGAACTCCGTTTCCCATCATGCATCATTACCTGCTCTCAATCTCCAGCTGCTCCTCAGCCTCTCTCAGCTTGCCCTCGAGGGCAGCGATGGAGGACTTGAGCTTGGAGCGGCCCTGGCCCTCGGTCTCCTGCAGCTTGGCCTTCAGCTCTCGGTTCTGCCTCTCCAGCTGCTGCCTGGACCCCTCCCTGCTCTGAGAGGAGGACCTCTCCGCCGCCAGCTCCGCCCCCAGCTGCTCCACCTGCACAGCACCAGAACCAGACTCTTAACTTACCACTTACTTAGACTTCTCCGGTCCGGTCTTCACCCTCTCTGCTCCACCCCAGACCTACCAGCTGCTGGCTCTTCCTCAGCCGGTCGTTGAGGCTCTCCACGTTGGCCTGCTCCTCCTCCAGCTCCTCCTCCAGCTGACTGATCTTAATG